ACATGCATTATGGGAGATGTAGTTTATGGTCAATGCTAGCTTTAAAGCATAATTTTTAAGACATTMATACTTAATACTGTTTGAAGCTCTCACAGGTCACATAAAATGCTGTGTCAGGTAAACATGTTTGACAGGAAGGTTAGATGCAGAGCACAAATTTCGGGAAACAAAATGATGACAAATATGTTCGTCCATCGCATCACGCAGATGACCAGTGACTGTGGAGGAAAATCATTATTCAGAATCAGAACAGATAAATAATTTGGCATGCATATTTTGGCACAAGGAAATTGTTCTACAAGTAAACCTTTTTAAATTTAAACAACTGACGCAGAGGATTTTCATTTGTGATAAGAACGTCCTCTGACAGAAACTGTCACCACAGCCACTTTTTCAGCTTTCCCCAGGGGTGCTGACTCCATCCCGGACGCCTCTGCTTGATGATAGTTCCCGCTGGTCATTTGAACATGTTGTCTCATGTCCAGCATCAGAGAGACGAGAGAAACCGCAGAGTGACGGAGGTCTGAAACACCTGCAGACTCTCCCCCAGCTGGATCCCCTCCCCTCTGAACCGAGTAGTTGACATTTAACAGCAWGAGCTGCAAACAGGCCACTGGAACGCCATTGACATTCATTTTGTGTGGCACAGGACTGGATAGGTTACAGTCACTGTCAGTTTTGCAATACACAGTTATTTATATAGATCTTAGTGTCGTTTTCCAACCACAAATAGCCAAAACAGCATAAAAATACTCGGGAGTCATAAGAAAAATATGAGATGCTATAATAACAGTGACAACAGAAGGAAATAATTAAGTCTAATTCCTCTGTTTATTCTCAAACCTGTTATTTAAAAGCAGCAGTTATGTCCTCTGTGACATTTGGGTTTTATTTTATTGATCCCATAAAATAATACAATTAAATAAAGTCTATTTATTGAGTAAGTGTTACTGTAAAGGTTGAAAGTGTTTCACATGGAGACAAATAGATGAGAATAAAACAAACCTTCGTTCAGCCATCAGACATGCAATTCATATTTTTTGCAATAGAAATATAGAGAATTACTGTAAAAAAGGGCAACAACTTTTTTATTAATGTTAATTCATTCTTTTCACACTGAAAACTTGAACAACACACCCCTCTCTCATTTAGTCGTTTTTGTCTTTAAAGAATTGGCTTTTCAAGTTCAGAGAAAAACCTAGAGAGGTATCAGTTGTTTAATTGTTCACTCGTTATTCATTTATATACTGATGGGTGGAGAGTGAGATTTATGATAATCCTGTTTACTTCTGTGATGAAACACATCATCATCATCCTTGTGTGTTTACGCTCTTTCACCTGTTGGATGTAAGACTGTGTGGGTGTGGATCATCTGTGCTTTATCACTTAATCACTGTGTCTGAAACCAAACAGCTCTCTGATTATCTTCAGCCTACTGTAACACTGAACAACCAATTTATCTATACCTGTGTGTGTATGTAGATGCGTATTTGCTGCATCATGGAGACCATATTTAGCTTAGCATGGCCATTGCCTTTCTATGCARTTCCACTTAATTCTAGCCTCCCTTCTCTGCTCTGTCTGGGCTTTCTCCCATTCGGCTTGGTGCTTCTCTCTTCCCAGCAGGGGATGGTTGTTTACAGCTCACACCGTTTCCGGTTAGCATCTTAGCATAGCTTCCTTTACGGTTGATCTGGTGCACTACATACGTCACAACCAAACATTAGCGATTGGGTAAAATCAGATCCAATCATTTTAAACTTCAACAGAGTCCATGCCCCTAGCAAGCAATCATTTCTCAATTTCTCTCATTCCTCTGTCCAAAGCAAAAACATAGAATAAGGGGCTGGTTTTTACCAGGCTAGGGTTAGGTATGAACTGGGGTGGTTAGGTTTAGGGTAAAGGGTCAGTGTTAAGCTCTACAAATGACCGGACAATGAATGGAAGTCACTGCCAAGTCCCCACCAGTATAAAAATCAATGTAGGTGTGTCTGTATGTATAGTGTCACAGATCTCATCTAAACACTGCTGAGTTTGACTTGTTCTTCTGCAGTTCATTCATTTCTTAATTCAACCATGAGTGTTGAACCAAAGCTCCTTGTCTTCTGGTAATTAAACGTCTTTTTTTTCTGGGAAAATTTGCAACACACAACCCTCTGTGAGAGGTTGCCAGTGGGCGCTGATAATTAGTAAGCTGAGTGGCTGCGCTGATTGCTTCATTATGTCGGCACCAGGCATCTACAAGGGACATTAATAAATGTTTGAGAATAATCTCTGCAATAGTTACACACACTGTTTGTGCATCGTTGCTCCACACCTATAGGAACAAGGCTGTTCACGGAAGGCTCCTGTTACACCATAAAGCTTAAACCTCCTTTGCATCATACTTAATGTAACATCAAACATTGGCGTGGCTAACCCAACATGAGTCCTGCTACATGCACTCTGTGGTGTCAGGGTTGGGAAACAAAGACTCATCAGCGGGGCTTGAATACTTTTCAGCTCCCTAACCTGAGTCAGAATAATTGGCCTGGATTGTTCACAACAGCGGTGCAGCAATTATCCACCCGGTTTAATTTCCAAATGATTGTTTTTGTCCTCAAAGATCTTCGCGGCTGCTTTTCGGAGGTTTGAGCCATCGACAACATTCTCAATCAGCCTCTTTGAAACTGRGAAGCTGTAAAAGAAGTGGTGCTAAAGTATTAAAGTGCCTGTGATGTGAATTTTTTGTTATAAATATGAATGTGTTTTTGGAAAGGTAACATTGACAACATATTGTAAAAAAGATTTCATGCAGCTGGGATGAACAGTTGTTGAGATATTGGCATGTAAAGTAACAGGAAGTGATGTCAAAGGGAAATGTCTGCGTGTGAACAGAGCAGTGCTACAAAGCCCAACAACACAGACTGTAGAGAAGAATCTGTTCCTTTAGATTATTTTAGTTATTATAATAAAGAGGCGAGGAAAAGTCAGAGTTAAAAAAATATTGTTTGAATAAACAAAAACCAGAGAGTTTTATTTCTTGAAGAGTTCCCCTTTGATGTCACTTCCTGCTTCACTTCGTCTGAGCAAAGTTCAAAAGAAAATATGCCAGTTATGGGACAAAATGGATAAACTCATGTGTATTATACCAAGTTTCTTAAATATAAAGATGTTTTCTTAGACATATTGTATTTCATGAGTATATGCATGTCACAGACACTTTAACCAGCTCTGAATGGTTCTTTTGGACTTCTATGTGCACATCAAGTCATGTGGAGGACTTTATTGTTTCAATTCATTAAATAGGCTCATCTTGGTTTTGTTAAAAGTCATGTAAAACTGAAGCTTATATCACTATTATTACAATTAGGTATGGTTTGTGTCCTGGACTTGGGCATTTGATGTTACTGAATTGTTGATTTTTTAAGTGAATATATTTAGAAACAAAGATGAAGTTGGACAGTGATGCTAACAGAGCTATTATTATGTGTTATGCTAGCACTCTGTGAACAAACATCTGCAGAGTTATAGAAATTACATGACAAGAACCACTAACCAAAGGTGTACRTTGGAAAATTTGTGCATTGCTAGTTGTGTCCAAATTTATGGGCTGTATCCTTTGAAGGACTACCCGGACTACCCGGTCTACATGAACTATAGGTCTGTTGTGTCGACTGCGAAGACTGGAAGAAAGTGGCTGTGAATATGRTTGAATTTAGCAAAATAATAATATATTAGGATAAATTAACAAAATTAACTTGGAGCCAATACATAAAGAACAAAGAGACCTGCCACACAAGCTCATTTACAATGATTTCTGACAAGAATATAAAAAAAACATGTCTATGCAAACGACAACATTCTAACTACACTGCTTTAAACTTTAAATTTTTGTACTGCAAGATTTTTATTTAAAACTGTACTCCTGTCGCTCACTTCATACACCATTACAAGTAATGCCTGCAATGCATCTTGGGATAGAGTGGGTTGAAAAGGATGCACCGGACCCATCCCTCAAATTGGGGGGGAAAGAAGAACACATGCATGGGCCACAGTTGGAGGAGCCTTCGAATTTGGACAAGCTTGTGCACATCACTGTGACATAATCAGCCTTCAAAGGATGCAGCCCCTGAATTTGGACACAGTTGCTAATTGGTTTGCTTCTTTCAATAATCAGTTTCCTGAGTTTTTGCTAACATTTATTCACGTTGTCAAAGGATATGTTGAAAATAGTGTTGTTGTTTTTTAAGCATAAACAGGCACAAACGTTTGGATCCTACCACTTTATTCATGTCTTTTCATCTCTGAACGTTTGTTCCAAAGGGTTCAGTCAGCTGCCGGGTATTAATCCAAATAACGTGTCTCAGCTCAGCCCGTTGTTCACCTCTTTCACTTTGATGGGTTTCCCACGGGGGCTGGCCTCAGTTGGATCTCCCTTTTTAAAATGTCAGCCCTGTCAGGTCCCCCACGCCGTCATATCTTCTGTCATCAGGTAAACATCAGTCCCAGGGCCACAGAGGGGCTCAAGTCATTACAGCTGCAGCTGCCGATGCTCCTCTTTCCATCAAACTTTACACGTCTAGCTCCAAACCAAACATCGCCTCTTTAATAACTGCTCTCTCCTCTGGTAGCTGAAGAAAAAAAAAGGGTCACCCCCTGTCTGGATAAAAGACTCCAGTCTCCAATCTGAGCCACAAACTCGGGCCGTGCTTCAACACAAACAGTTTTTTTCTAGGTGTAACTGGCTTATTAAGCCTTCTGTCTGTTCGGGGTTTACTCACCCATAAGTAAATCCTCCAGTTTCAGAGTTGTTGTTCTTGTGTTTTTGTCGAGTGCCCTCGAATGTTAGCCTGATTAAAACTGAGAACTCAGTGTGTGATTGTGTCAGCATTCAGCAAGCCGAACCCTCTCATACTCACAGCTCCTGGCATTAATCCGTCTCGCTAATGGTGGGGGATGGAGTCGGAGGAGAACAATACAACATTTTTCCACTCTGTCTTTTTTTTTTTTCTCTTTAGACTCAGGCCACGTGGTAATCGCCTGGCGGGATATCTTGGACGTTCAGTACGGATGTTGTTGTTCTCGTTCACTCATCCCACCTGGCTCTTACCGGCCCCTGCCGCACTGCTCGAGGAAGCGAGGTACAATACTCCCTCCATGCCTCCAGAAAACATCCTTCACTGCCTTTTGTTCCTGTCATTGTCACCAAATAGGGGGTTGCGTCTAGGGGTTAAGTGAAGGATATGAGCGTGGAGTGAGACAAATCCTGGAGGTTCTGGGGTGTTTCTCTAGTTTGCAGGAAGGGACACTGTGGAAACAACATGCTTACCTCCTTAGTATTTCAAATTCTGTAGTACAATTTAGCTGTGTGACATTCCTAAATGGGACAAAGGCTCATACTTCCTGCACATGGTAGTTTTTGTGTATTTCATAGATTACAAGATAGTACGTGTACAGGAAGGTGTCAAATATTTGTTCACTTACATCCCTTCAAATTCCAAATGATGCTATTGTTCTGGAGTGAGGCAGATATTTCCTTTACGATGACTTCAGTTTCCTTATTTGCACTCAGACTCAGTAGTAAAAGATGCTCAAGATATTGTTGTGTTTCAGTAAAAAAAATAAAAAAAACTCATGTATAAGTTCCAAGAATTTTTCTTTTGTCCATCCAGTCTGAATGAAAGCTTCTAATTTCCTCTCAGTTTTTCTATTTTAGTGATTGAGCGATACAACGTTTTTAAATAACTCTGGGGTTTTTTGTACTTATTTGTAGGCAGGCTGTGGAAACTACAGTAAAGGCTAGATGAGATGAAAAATGAGTACGGGTAAAAGATATTAATTCTGTTGTAATTTAACAGATAGGACTTTATTGGGGTCTGGATCTCTAATTTAAGTGAAGTTGTTGGGATTCAGTGGACTTTGACTGTTGGTGACTAGTTGGAATTACAAAATTGCGAAAAATTGTGTCAAATTTTGATGATGCGTTGTAATTATATCACAATTTGACTGCAGTTTTTGTCTCCTGTTTCGTCAAACTTATGAAACCATCCAAAGATGTCTCCTGTCTCGTGTGTTTCACACTTTATGACTCAGAATTTAAACTGAGAAAGGTTCCAGACGGGGTCCTTTCGCAAAAAACGTCTCCAACACTCACCRCACATCGAGACATTGGCTTAATCTAGGTGTGAGCAATATATTACTTCACACATGCAAAATATTTTCTTGTGCTTTATAAAATTTAAAAAACTGGTTCGTAAGTTGAGTTTTTCCACATCATTTGCAATCAGCTACATTAACTTCTAATTGCAGACTAGTTTGTCTCCTCACAATCTGTGTGATTAACACAGAAACCCCCTGAGGGCTGCCAACCAAAAACCGAGAACTATTGTTTCAGCGCATCGCTGGATGAGATTTCAGTGTTTTACTGTTGGATCAGTTTGGCCAGCAGCAGGACTGCCAGTCATTTTGAGTGCCATGAGTGCCTTCCTCAGCTTCCTCTTAAATATTCTTTTGTTTTTCTCCACCCGACATGTTGAAATAATGTTTCACCCTGTTAGGTTTAAAGGGATTAAGGATGTTTTTCTCTCTCTCTCCCAATGACTAAAGCATTTGCGTTTAGTGAAACCTGGAGCAGTTCTGGCTTGATCCAAGACGTTGGAAAATGTCGTTTTATGATTTTGCAGCACCTTTAAAGCGCATCGGATTGCTTTCATTTTTCATGCGCGACGCCATAGCTGATACGCATCATTCAGACGTGCAGCCGAGGGCTTGAAAACCGTCATTTCTTCATATGCTTCAGCATCCTTTCATTCAGTGGAGCTCGTCTGGATCAGAGGGCACCTGAGTTCAGTCTGTTTCCTTTGGTGAAGCACTTTGACAAATGGTCCCCCTTCAGTTTAATGTTGCAGCAGTTCGCTGCAGTGCACTAATAGAGCTTCGGCCAAAAAGTTTACATCAAGGCTGCTGTTATTGCTCGCTGTGATTTAGTGACTTTCTTTAGCAATTTACCTGCTCGGTGTTAAGAGGGTAACTGGGATATCTGCTGGGAAGCTGGAAGACAGATTTTGGCTGACGGCTCCCCTGGCGTTTCAGTACTGCTGCTCTGTCGTGTTCTTTCATGTGGATGTTTGCTTGTCTGTCTCAGTTCAACGTTTCAGGAGGAGAGTTTGCTTTTATTAAATGTCCAGATCTCAAAACATTTTCAGCTTTGGCAGACAGAGTGGTAAACAGTAATGTGACTGAAGCGGAGGGTGCCAGCCATGAGTTTGAAAAAAAAAAATTGTTAAAGAATTCACATCAGTCACTGCCTTTCATGCCAGAGATTTAATCTAAAATTATCTCTTGTTGAGAGATTATAACGATATAATCGTTTAGGTCAAACTTTACCACTGATATTATACACATGCAGTAAATGGAGGGTTTTGAGTTACTTCAGTCAGTTTAATTCTCCTGTCTGTCTCTGCTGTAGCCCCGCCCACGTTCACCTGTTCCTCATCTCTCTCCCCAGGTGTTTCTCATTTACGCTCATTAGGGTCCCTTCATTATCTGCTTTGTCTCTTTCCCCCTGTTGATTCACTGCACTTTCATTTGGCTCTCTGTTTCCCAGAGTTCTTTGTGAGTATTTTATGCTGCGCAACAAAACTTTATTTTGTTCATAAATCAGTTTCTGTTGACCTCTGACTGCTGCTTGGGTTTTTATTTTATTTTATTTCATTTCATTTTATTTTATTTTTTGTTTATAAACTTGACCTTATATTGTGAGATACTGCTAAATAGCACTGAGGAGTAAGTGTTGGGGATGACTCTCAGCTACTACCACACCAAACTTTAGCTCAATATGTGTAAAACTGATGGAGCTATCGGCGTTCTTGTTTGTTAATGTTGATTAATGTTGACTTCTTGAATTTGTGTGACTCCAAGTTGTAGACGTACATTACTTTCTGTGAGTTTAATTAAAAGCCATCCTATGGTTCGCCAAATATTTTGCTAACACAACACAATCCACACAAATGCACAYATAAAGGCAAAACCCCTTATCATCTCTCGCTTTCGGAGGTGGACAAGAAACAAATGTTGCACCTGGCTGGGACATTCACAATGAAGTGTTTTTTTTCCCGGTTTTTCTATTAATTCTTTATCCTAATTCTGTGTATTTTTGATGGTGAAGCAGAAAAACCTTTTATTCTAGCATTTTCCCCTTTTTGCTGTGTTCTGAATCAAGAAGCTGAAGTGGAACGTATAATTTAAGAAAAGTGAACGTGGGCGTATATTCAAACACCAATTTTCTCTGGTGCAGCTTGCATGAATTAAAATCAAATTAATATTAATGTTTTATGTAAAAGCTTGCCTAAATTCAACAAATTATTATTATTATTTTTTCAGCCGTTGGAGATAAAGGCTGTAGAGAAATTTGCTTTCAGCCCCGTTGAGCCTTGTGGTTTGACTCAGTGTTTTGATCTTTTTTGTCCCAAAAAAGAATCTGTTTTTGCCACCAGCAGGTCTGTCATCATCGCCACCGACAGACAGCGGGGTGTTATAAGTGTTCGACCTGCTGCAGATGGGCTGTCAGTCCGAGCACAACCTCTTTACTGCTGTAACAAAAAAATCTGATGTAGTGCTAACCTCCACCCACAGACACTTCCAACCCTGCAAATATGCAACGCCAATCAAAACCTTTTTCTTGCACTCTGGCTCTCCTAAAATAACAGAGTTCAAAAACGCTTGTTGAGTTCGATGCRGAGGGCAACGAGGAACAGAAAAGCAGCATTTTGTTGAAGAAAAATAAGCAAATGTGTTCGTCTGCTGTCAGAGCAGCTTCTTAAGGGAATTCAGAGGTCAGAAGATTCAAACTGAGGAATAATAAATGAGCTGTCACTCTGGTCTTACGTCAGCCTTTTGATTTTAAAGCAATGGATGATGAATCCGCTTCTTAGCTTGACGTGTTTTTAAGTTTTGACATGTGTCTCAGCAATTTTTCACCAGTTATTTTCAAAGATCGGCTGTTTGTGAGCTGACATTGGCACGATGACTCACTGGCACACAATGAAGTGGGGAYGTTTTCAGAGACTTTTCTTTTTTGCACTTTTTGTCACTTGGGCTAAAAAATGTTTTGATGGCTTAACAAACAATAGAATGACCTTTTATATAATCATTTCAGACCTGTTGCCCTTTTTGTGTTAGTGATCCACTTATGGCCAATGAACGTCATTGAAATCATTAGGAGAAAATGAATAATTGATAATATAAGTCTTTGCCCCCTGTGAGCAAAAGGTGTGAGTCAGGGCCCCAACAATACCAACACAAAGAGGGAAAGAGACAAAAACAAGGGGACGTTGAATCCCGCCTGCATTCACTACATACACATAACAAAACACCAAATAACCACAGCATCCAAACCAATAAGTCAGTGATGGGACACATGACCCTCTAKGAATAATAGAGGTAATCAAGCCTATTGTTGGGTGATGGCCCTCTTTCGCATGTGACTAACCTGTTTGTCCACCTCGTGGAGGCAGTGCTTATAAGGCTGAGTTCACCTGAAACTCATCAGACTGAAGAAGTCTCTTGGAGGAGAGACCAAACGTTTCACTAAAGAAGAATCCATCCAGAGGATCTACTTATTTTTTTCTTTTTGATTTTTTCTATCTGAATTACTGAGATGCATCAGAACATAAGTCTTTGTGTTTGTCTGTTTGATGGGAAAAAGCAGGTGGCAGCAACTAAACAGTAAAGCCTGGGTTAGGCTTCATCAAGACGTGAGACAGTGGATCATTAAAATCCGTCCCTCTGTCTTCCTACTGTAGCATACGCCTCGCTTTATTCGCTCACAGAAACAGATGTGCGTTTTCATGATATTTGTGGTGGTCTCCCAGGCTCCGCCCACTGTAAAGCAAGGTAAAGTGGAAGAGCTGGATTCTTCCTGCGAGGGTCTCCACTCCGACCGTGCATCTGCCAATTGGCCCACCACCATTTGCAACAGACAAACGCAACAGCTCTGCTATGTCCCTCCAAGAGTTTCTCGTCATTTGGTTGTCCTGGTGTTCTTCACTGGACGTGTCTTACCGATGACCGTACGGCCTCGCAGTCTCAGCGAACTGCTCCTCGAAACTGCCCATCAGCATGTAGAAGTGGACCATTTTAA